TCTAAACGGAATTGTCTAGATGAATCCAACGGATTCAGAAAGTCCGTTCCCTTCAGAGCGATTGCGTTGTGGGCCATGAAAAGTCAACTGAAGGTCTGGCTAGACTCAAGCTGATTTGAGGATCTGAATGATTTCGAGAATCAGATTTGGAGAATCCATCCGATTTGGAGGCACAATCCAGTCTCATTTGACACGCAAAGCAAGTGGTCTTTGGCGCGGACCTACGGCATTTGATGCGTGTCGGTAAGTGAGGAAGATTATACAAGGAGTTTGGGGAGAGGATCTGGTGAGATCGCCCTGATGGATGGCTTGGGTAATGGAGCGGAGCGAAGGAACAGGATTTTTTCCTTTGCAAGTGGCAGGAAAAAAGTCAGTTCGCCTAAGGAACTTTAGACCAGACTGAAGGAATGCCAAGAATCTAAATATGGCTGTTTTCAATGGATGGGAGCGAAAGAAAGAAGAGTTTTCTTCATAGGGAGTGGAGCTATAAAAGAGTTTTGAAGGATGATAGGGAATATTTTTTGTACCCTCCCTCTGTCCTCTGAGAGGCGGTCAACTGTCTGATAGGACAGTTGTCCTTAGACAACCCAACTCTTCCTATTTACTCTTGCCAGAGGTGAGACGACAAACTTTTTGCTCCAACCCCATCAGAAAATTATTTCCCTCTTTTGCTGCAGCAGGCACCCAGTGTCACCCAGTCCCTGCTAGATGCTTAATCCTTACTAATATCTAACCTTTCTTTGCTGATCCCTGTGCTAAGCCCCTCTGCAGGTGGAGGGGCTATAAAACACACCCAAGGAGAGCAACCCCTTTGGGAGTCAAATGCCACAGACCGTCCTTGCCATTTGGGCTCACCCGGCAGATTAGGCCCACCCACCCCCCGGCGCTCTGAGTATATTCGGGGACAATCTCTTCATAAACTTTCGAAGTCTGTGGCATCTCTTTTGGTGTTCCCGTTCTTTGGTGTCCGTCCTGCAAATCCTAAATCAAGCACCGATGCGCCGATTGGTGGCAGTTGTATCCTGTATTCAAGGAAGAAATCATTCCTTGCTGAATTGACCATCCTTGTATCTGGGGGGAGCTTGACACCAATCCTATTTTCTGGATGACTTGGAGCTGAAGGAGAAGTCCGGGCAGGAACCATCTGGAGGAAAAAGTCAACCACGAATGGAGCGCTGTTCCACGAGGGTCTTTCTGTCTTGTGTTCTCTCATCCATGAGCCCAGAGAGACATCCCTTGGCATCTGCCAGGTTTCTTGCTCACCTGACCTCCTCTTCCTCCTCCTCCTGTTTCTGTTCTTCTTCCCTTTCCTTCCTCCCTCTTCCTCCTCCTCCTGCAGATTATTTTGCTGGGAATCTAACACAATCCAATGAGAAGCCAACTACAAAGGAAAACCTGCATTTTCTAGCACAGAGTTGGGAAAACCGTGTCCTGTGAACCCCACAGCAGCCCCCAGAACCATGTTGAGAGCTCCTCAAGCTTCCAAGATTGCACTCCAATCTTTAACAGCCAAATTAGCCAGCTTGGGTGACTTCTGACAAAGCAATTTGTCACTCCTTAACAAGGAAAGAAAACGTCATTCCCCCCGTGGGGCAGCTGCGTCCGTGTCTGTGACAAACCATGATGGCGTCAGAAGGATAACACGTGCGCCATGAATGACTCTCAGTGCAAATCACGTCATCGTGTGCGATGCAAGGGCCATACGTTGCCGCATTTGCACAACTGTATCTTTCTGCTTCCTGTTTGGGGGTTAGGTAGGTGGGGTTGGTAAGGGAGGGAATAGGTGTGCTCCTTCCTTGAAAGGAAAACAGATGTGCTTGAGTGCATGTCTGTGAACGTGCACAGCCAACTTCCACCGTTGAAAGCCGATGAATCTAAGCCATGCGCTAAACATGGAAGTCGTATATCCTGTATATGCCTGGCGGTCCCCCCCCCCCTTTATGAACACATGGCAGCCTGTTTGCAAACACGGACAGCTGGGAAAAAGAGCCTCACGCTGCAAATTCTGGTTTGCACGAGGCAGCCCTGTAAAGATCAGAAGCCGGAGCGCAGCGCTGAGCAATCTTATTGGAGGGCGCCCCATGGGGGCTGCGGGAAACCTACCTCCTCCTCGTTAGCACTGACCTTGGCACAAGCCATTGGCTGCTGATGAATAGGCTACCATCCTCGATCAGACGCCTGGGAACGGCCATATTATCTGTTATGGCCCCATCTGTGCCTCCCTCACCCCGCCCGGCTCCGATCCCTGCACATAAATCTGTGTCCAAAACTTAAGAGGAAAAAGAAGGGGAAAAAAGGATGTGAAAAATGTCCTTTTTATGAGTCCTCATGACAAAAGCAAAACCAGATCAGAAGGGAGGCAAAGGGGGCTGCAGGTTGGGCTGGGTGGGGGGAATGGAGCAAAATGCACACAGTCAGAGCTGGCCGGGAATGCTCCATCTTGGAATAACCTGGTTATTCCAAGGGAAACAGCTTTGCTGCCTTTGAGAATTATTAACTGCAAGCAGGCACGGCCAAAATGCCGCAAATGGACAATGGATGGGGACATCCAGACGCTGGAGCCTTGTCTAGGCTTCTAAAATTTGCTCTTGATTAGCGAAGAAAGGTGTTTCCTCTCTCGTAAGAAAAAGAGGGTCTTTTGCTCTGAATTCACACCCCTTTCCTCTCTGCACAGAGTCCAAGATGGGCTAGATCTTGACTTAGGGAGGCAAACACAGACCATAGAGCAGGGATTCTCAACCTTGGCAACTCTAAGATGGGTGGACTTCAACTCCCAGAATTCCCCAGCCCGCCATGCTGGCTGGGGAATTCTGGGGGTTGAAGGCCACCCCTCTTATAGTTGCCTCGGTTTGGGGACACAGGCC